CCTGCCCGGGCCAGCCTGTCCCAGGGCTCCGTCACCCGCAGAGGGAAGAAGTTTTTGCTCGTGTTGAGATGGAACTTCCCGTGTTCCAGTTTGTGCCCGTTGCCCCTTGTCCTGTCACTGGGCACCACTGAGCAGAGTCTGGCCCCATCCTCTTGACCCCCACCCTTTAGACATTGATAAGCCTTGATCAGATCCCCTCTCAGTCTTCTGAGAGGCTCAACAGCCCCAGCTCTCTCAGCCTTTCCTCATCGCTGTTTTGGGTTGGTTTAGTGTAATGAGATCTAGCCACAACCACTGAGACTAAAAGGACTTGAAAATCAGGATCAAGGCATCCTAAACAAGATGACAGTAGTATGGAAAGCAGAGTTGAAGGCAGCAGGGTCAGAGTCCCTGGGGAGCTGCCTCCTCAATAACCGCCTGTCACACTCCGTGAAGCAGAACTGCCCTGATCATCACGTTTGCTGTTGGGAAGGCTGGGAGCTAATAGTAAACAGTAGTTTGTAGTTGCTGAAAGGACTTCTCCTGAGGGCTGTTTTTTGTGATGGAGTTGTTCCCTAGGCAGGGAGACACAAAATGACTGCATTTACTTTGTAACCTGTTTGTAAGGTGCTCAGATGCTGTGGCAATGGCTGCTACTCTGTGCCCAGGCCAGCCTGGAGTATCTGCCAGCAGCTGGTGATAAAACTGTTCCAGTTGCTGTTGTCATGGAGCGTTAGCCTGTTTTTGGAGTGGTGTCCCCATCATGGAGACGAATTTTGAGGTAATTAGGCTTTGCTCGGTTAATCTGCTCCAGGTGCCATCTCCCCACTACCATGCTCTGTGTGGTGGTTTTTTCCCCAGTACTGCTCTATAAATTAGAGCAGGCAAAGCTGCTGCTGGTCGTCGTCTGCATGCTGAGGAAATTAGCAGGGGGTTGCGTGGAAGCTACCCTTCCAGGGTAGGTCTAACTCCGCAGGAGCAGCGCTCTGGTAAGAAGCTCCGCAGGCACGTAGGTTGCTGCCGAGTTTTACGCAGAGGGCGGGGACGACAGGGCTGTGTGATTAGTGCTGCCACCAAACATGATATTGTGCTGGTGCCGCTTTTGGTAAGCGTGGAAACGAGCATCACCGTTGTGCAAATAAGATGAAGTCCCGAGTGCTCTGAGGACAAGCTATTTCTTTGCGTCTCGGTACTGCCCAAACCTCCCGGTGACAAGGCATAGGAAAAAGGGAAATCACCTGCTAGGATAACTAACTCTGCCCTTTTATAGCTGCTGTTCTCTGGACTAATAGCTTCATTCGCTCTCTACCAGTGTGCTGCGGTGCTGCCTCCCCCTTCCTAATACTGTATTCAGCTTTAGTTCTGGCTCCTAAGAAGCTGCAAATCTCTGCCACCTGCTCAGCATAGTGTGAAGCTGGTGGGAGAGCAGGCAGACTTACACTGTACGAGATCATCCCAAGAAAGCTTAAAAATCTCTAAAAAGCACAGCTGGGACTATAGTGAGGAGGGAGAGATGTGGCTGCTGGGTTCTACAGCGTCGGGGCTGGCAGGGGAGGAAGCAGAAGTCACTCAGCCAGATCTTCCTGCAGCCCCCTGAGAACCCAGAGGAATTAAGCGAATCGTTACCCCAAGCAGCACCTGAATAGCCCTTCCCTGCGAAGGAAGATGGGAGAACAGGGGAGGGCTCTTCCCTGGCTGCTCAGAATTACTCCTTCCCCCAACAGTCAGCTGCTGGAGCCGCACGCCTGGCATAGGGCCGAGCGCTCCTCACAGAGCAGGCTTGATGGGACGGGTCTGCCCCTCATGGCACAGAAATAGCTAGGAAGAGATCTACATCCCCTTTCAGTAGGTTCTGGACACTAAAAATGTGAAGGATTTTAAATCACTTTTCTCTGAACAAGACTAGAAGGGAGCGGACGCCTCCTTGCCCCTCTCAAAGTTCTCCTCAGGCAGAAGCCCAGGGTAGTGGTGGTAGACCACAGCTGTATAAACGCTTTCAAGTCTTTCAAATCATTTTTAGGATGTTGTGATTTCTTGAAGTGTCTTGAAACTAAGGTGTAGGGCCCCGTTTAAGCATTCTCCATCTCCTGGCTAAGGAGAAGTTACAAGCAGGCCAAAGGATAACTCAGGTGAACACACAGGCATGAGACATGAACCAAGAATTTTTTATTTAACACAGTAAGTTTGAGTACAGCAGCAGAACTCCTTGAGTCCATCTTGGTTTACATCATATCAGTAGGTGGCTGATATAATCTGGCTCGGAGCTGTTCAATAAGAAATCCATTTTGACAGCAGTAGTTTCAGGAGGCTGAATCCTTCTCTGCAGTGTCTTTTGCCACCCCAGGTTGGATCTTGCTGCTGAGCATTTCAGTCTTCATTTGTCTCATACTTGTGCTTGATGTGTTTCCACAGTTTCTGTACACAAAACAAGGAAAGCAGAATAATTTAAAAAAAAAAATCTTAGCCAGCTTTTCAGTGGTCCTGGGATAGAATTTCACTTTAAAATACAAGTTACCACAAAACCCACATCCGTTAACAGGCAACAGCAAGAGGGGAAAGAAGAGTTTGTATGAAAACACAGCCACAAATAGAGCTGCTGTCATCTCGCTTCCCCTGTTCTACTCTGCAAGCCAGAGCTCAAGAGTATTCCATGCCTCGGCCTCCCGCTCAGACCAGAGAGGGCATCTCTGCCCCCAGAGATACGGGATGCACAGGAGAACCCTGCTCCGGGCACTGAAACCTGCTGGCACCATCGGGACCGAGGGAAGCGCTGCGCAAGGCGCGTGCCCGGCTTTGTAGACATTGTTGTAGACAATGCTTTAGATTAAAAAAAAAAAAAGAATTTCTTCTTCCACCCTTGCTTGAGAAAACATTAGCACACAGAAAATTAATGCTACAATTAAAAAAAATTTTTGAGTGCAAAGCTAGAGTTCAGATGTGATTTTATGTCAGATTTAACAAATGACTTGCTAAAAAGGAGAAGACCGGGCCCCTGGTTTTGCTCTTTACTGTATTTCCTCAGCTCACCCCAGCCCTGGTGAGGTACTTCGGGCGGTGAAGATGTCACTTTGTGCGGTATC